CCTGAAGAAAAAAATTCAAGCCTCAAATTGTAATACTGAAGGATTCTATGGTCAAAATATTAAATGATGCAAGAAGCATCAAAGAAGATGGAAGAAATACATACAGTCACTGTACCAAAAATAATTGGTCAATGTTCAATCATTTTAACTACTAACTCACTGCTGTTGAGTCAGACCTGACTCATAGTGACCCCTCCTTGGGTTTCTGAGGCAGTTTCACTATGGAAGTAGATTGCCCAACCTTCCTTCTGAGGGATGGCTGGTGAGTTTGAACTTCCAGCCTTCTGGTTAGCAGTAAAGTGCCTTAGGCACTATGCTAGCAAAGCTCCTTCAATCATTTTAGGAGCTGGTATATAATCAGGAATCAACAATGCTGAGGAAAATATCCAAGCTGCAGTAAAGTCATTGGCAAAAAAGCAAGGCTCCAGGAATTGATGGAATATCAATGCTGCTGTGTAAAAAAAAAAAAAAAAAAAAATGGATGCAACACTGGCGCTCACTTGTCTACGCCAAAAATTTTAGAAGACAGCTACCTGGCCAATTGACTGGAAGAGATCCATATTTGTGCTCATGGCAAAGAAAGATTATCCAAAAGAATGCAGATATAATTGAGGAACATCACTAATAGCACATGAAAGTAAAATTTTGCTGAAGATAATTTAAAAAGCATTGCAGCAGTACATCAACAAGGAACTGCCAGAAATTCAAGCAGGATTTACAAGAAGATGTGGAATGCAGGCTATTATTGCTGCTGTTAGATTGATCTTGATTGAAAGCAGAGTATACCAGAAAGATATTTATGTGTTTTATTGACTATGTAGAGGAATTCGTCTGTGTGGAACAAAATAAATATGGATAACATTGCAAAGAAGGGAATTCCAGAATGCTTAATTGTGCTCATGCAGAGTCTGTACATAGACCTAGAGTCAACCAGTCATTGGAACAGAACAAGGGGCCATTGCACGGTTAAAATCAGGGAAGGTGTGCAACTAGATTGTATCCTTTTACCGTATTTGTTGTTGTTGTTAAGTGCCGTCGAGTCATTTCCAACTCATAGCGACCCCATGCACAGCAGAACGAAACACTGCCTGATCCCATGCCAGCCCCACAATCTCTGCTATATTTGAGCCCATCATCGCAGCCACCGTGTCAATCCATCTCATTGAAGGCCACCTCCCTCTTTCATCGACCCTCCACTCTACCAAGCATGATGTCCTTCTCTAGGGAATGGTCCCTTCTGACAAGATGACCAAAATAGGTGAGACAAAGTCTGGCCATTTTTGCTTCCAAGGAGCATTCTGGTTGCACTTCCTCCAGGACAGATCTGTTAGTTCTTTTAGCAGTCCACGGTACTTTCAGCATTCTTCGCCAGCACCACAACTCAAAAGCATCAACTCTTCTTCGGTCTTCCTTATTCATTGTCCAGCTCTCACATGCATACCAGGTGATTGGAAATATCATGGCTTGTGTCAGGCCCACCTTAGTCCTCAAGGAGATATCCTTGCTCCTCAGCCCTTGAAACAGTTCCTTTGCAGTTGACTTTCCCAATGCTACACGTCATCTAATGTCCTGACTGTTGGTTCCATTGGCAATGATTGTAGAACCAAGCAACGTGAATTCTTTGACAACCTCAATCTTCTCTCCATTTATTGTGCTGCTGCTCATTGGTCCAGTTGTGAGGATTTTTGTTTTCTTTATGTTGAGATGTAATCCATACTGTAGACTGTATTCTTCAACCTTCATCAGTAGGTGCCTTAAGTCATCCTCACTTTCAGCAAGCAAAGTTGTATCATCTGCATATCTCAGGTTGTTAATGATTCTTCCTCCAATCCTGATACCACGTTTTTCTTCATATAGTCCAGCTTCTCAGATTATTTGCTCAGCATATAGATTGAATAAGTGTGGAGAGAGGATACAACCTTGACTCACTCCCTTCTTAATTTTAAACCATGTAGTGTCCCCTTGTTCTGTTCGAACCATATTTATTCAGTCTATATGCTGAGCAAATAATCTAAGAAGTAGGAGTATATGAAGGAGAAAGTTGTATTGGAACTGAAGGAAGACTCATTACCAATTCATGACATGTAAATGTCACAACTTTGTCTGCTTAAAATGCAAAGGACTTAAAGTACTTAGATGAAACTCAAAGGTGACAGCCTTCAGTATGGATTGTATTTAACATAAAGGGAACAAAAATCCTCACAAATGGACCAATAAGCAGTATCATCATGAACAGAGGAAAGACTGAAGATGTCAAAGATTTCATTTTCCTTGGATCCACCATCAATGTCCACAGAAGCAGCAGTCAAGAAATCAACAATATTTTGCATTGGGAATATCTGTGGCAAAAGTCCTCTTTAAAGTGTTAAAAAGCCCATTTTATCTTTGGACTAATTGTTTCCAGATTACTTTGATTTTTTTCACTTTTCTTTGCTTCAGACAAGAAGAGACCAATAGCTGCATCGTAGGTGGCCATTTGAAAGCTTCTAAGACCCCAGTTGCTACTCGCCAAGATAGGTTGTAGAATAAAATTTTTATGAACTATGTGAACCAATTGAACATGATGTCTCCTGAGACTATGGTCCCAAGCCCCAGGCCCGGTGACAAGGACCTCAGCCTCCATGACTCTGAGACCAGAAGAACTAGATAGTGCCTACTACCAATTCTAGCCATTGAAAAGAGATAAAATCTGGAGATTGTGGATGGAGTGGGAGGAATAATGTGGAACAAAATTCAAAATCACAAAAAAAAAAAAAAAAAAAAAGAGTGAAAAGAATTACTTGTTGGAAAGAGACTGGTGGAACCCCTGAGACTATGACTCGATGTTACCCTTCAGGTCTAGAAATGAACTCACTTACATGGATTGGTTCTCAGCCAAACAGTAAAAAGACCTACATACAGAACACCTACCCCAGGTCGATACATCCACCTACTACAGGGAGATGTACCCTTTGGATCAATCACCCATGAGACACCAGAATGGTAGCACTCACATAGAGGGAAAGCTGGACAGACAGGAATGCATAGTTAAGAAGAGGACAAGGAGGGGGTAGTCACAGGAAGGGGAGGAGAGGAGAGCTTTTTTTATGGTTGGGGATGGTAATCAAGGGTGTGAAATCAGATGTGCATGAACTGACGAATGTAAAACAAGTTTGCTTTGTAAATTTGCACCCAAAGTACAATTTTAAAAAAATCTGCTCATCAATAATAAATAAATAAAGTGTTAAAAAGCAAAGATGTCACTTTGAGGACTAAGGTGCACCTTGCCCATGCCATGGTATTCCAGATGGATGAAAAAATCTATCTTGGAAGAAGTACAGCTTCTCCTGTACTTCTCCTGAGGAACGGGAATGGTAAGACACCATCTCACATACTTTGGACAGATATGTCCAAATCAGGAAGGTACAGTTCCTACAGAAGAGCATCATGTCCTGTAAAGTAGGCAGTCAGTGAAAGAGAGGAAGCCCCTCAATGAGATGGACTGAATGGGCTCAAAGTTAGCAATGACTGTGAGGATAGCGCAGGACCAGACTGTTCCCTTCTGTTGTACATAGTGTCACTGTGAATCGGAACTGACATGATGACTCGTAACTAACAACCATAATAACAATGAAGGGAAGATATAAAAGAGCAATGTCAAGGAAGGGCAAGATTTGTTTAGAGGTTATATCAAAAACTCCAAATAAGGCAAGTAGGAGCAATTGAAAAGAAGGCACTGAAAGAAGTGAAGCCAGTGAAGGAATGTTTGCTTAATGAAAACCTCTATGATGAACTGAATAATAAATGAGTTATTCTAGGTTTGGGAGATGAATAATCAAATTATAACCTTGTTAGACCTTGTAATTTTCAAGCATGCTACTCAATGGGAATGTCCACTGCTTTATTGATCAAGTGAGAGACAAATGTAAAGGTAATGTCAGAGATCACAGTTTAAATTCTTTATATTTTCAAGAATCTGTGTTCTAGATATACTCGTGACAGTGTGACTCATTTCATTTGCTTTAAAATGCTTTCAACAAACATTTAGTTTCTTTTCATGAAATGGAACACATTTAGGGACCGAAAAAAGCCCTGACACAGAGATCTGACAATTGTTGTCAAATATGATGAATGATTATTTTAATTTAATGCCTATGTAATTGAACTCTGTGAAAATATTGTTGTATTTCTGAACATGGTGTAGTGCCTAAGGCATTTGACTGCTAACCAGAAGGCTGGTGGTTCAAATCCACCAGACACTTTTCAGAAGGAAGACTAGGCAGTCTACTTCCCTAGTGATACCAACTCGGAAACCCAAGGAGGGGTCACTAGGAGTCTGATCTGCCTCGATTGCAGTGAGTTAGTTAGTTAGTTATTGGCTTTAATAGAGTCTATGGTGGGGAAGTGGTTAAAGCATTGGGCTGCTAACTAAAATGTTGGTTGTACAAACCTACCAGCCACTCTACGGAGAAAGATGAGGCAGTTTTCTTTCATAGAGATTTGTATAGGCTTGGAAATCCTTTGGAGCAGTTCCACTCTGTCCTTTAGGGTCACTGTGAGTTGGAACCAACTTGATGGAAGTTACTTATTTCTTTTATTAATTTCAATAGAGAAATTAAAGACTTGTTTTTATTCATCATATCACACAATTTTACTCTTTAAGCATTTTACTTTATAACACCTCTTCCTTATTCTTTCATGTATAAAACCTATCTTCCTAATAAGATTAGACACTCTTCAAGCATAAAGACAAAGGTATAAACTTCTTAATTTAGCCTTTACTCCATCTACTCAGCAGTTGTTGTTGTTGTTGTTGTTGTTGTTATGTGCCATCAAGTTGGACCCGACTCATAGTGACCCCTCCTTGGGTTTCCGAGGCAGTATCACTACGGAAGTAGATTGCCCCATCTTCCGTCCGAGGAGTTAGGATGTGCTAAATATGCAGAATTATTATAAATGTTAAAATAGTTTAAAATACATATAAATAGAAAATTTATTTTTCTTTCAGTTATCACTCTGTGATGGATTCTTCCAAAACTGATTGCATTGATGAAATTTGCTGTATCAATGGACTTTTAATATATAAAAGTTTTTCTGAAAACTGGGATATTATGGAGGCATTCCAAGCAAAAGCAGATGATATCATTATTGTCACCTATCCCAAATCTGGTAAGTATCTCTGAAATGCTAGTGTTTCTTTTTCAACTAGAAATGATCAACCCACCTTGAATGGTTAATAATAAAGTATTCATTTCTTCCACATTCATTTTCCAGCTAATTTCCCAAATTAAATAAAGACAAAGTAAATTTGATAGAGACATAGGGAGAAGCATATTATCCCCCTGTTCCACACCCACAGTCCATAACTATAGCCTGAACATCACTTGGACAAGTGAATATTGTTGGACAAATTAGAAATATATGTAATATAGATGTGTGAATACAGAAGCTCCACTATAATTTAAAACAACAATTCAAACTATGTTCACTTTTGGTCAGTAATAGACGTCATCTCTATATACAAAATAAGTATAAGCACTTTCACAGATTTTTAAAAACTATTTTAGGTAACCAGTTCCTCATCTATAAATCCATCTGAAAATCTCCATTTTTAAACAACTGATTTTTTTTTTTTTTAGATTAGTTCACATTTGAATGATACCCATGGAGGATAAAATCATAATCACACCAAACCAAGCCAAACTCACTGCTGTTGAATCGATTCGACTCATAGCAACCCCTCCTAGGGTTTCTGAGGCTGTATCTCTACAGAAGTAGATTGCCCAATCTTCCTTCTGAGGAGCGGCTGATGGGTTTGAACTGCCAGCCTTCTGGTTAGCAGTCAAATGCCTTAGGCACTATGCCAATTAAATCAAAGACATAAAGAAATTAGCAAGGTGCAGTCCAGAATTCTCTTTATGGTTATTGAATTAACACTTAAACGTAAATATGTCAAATATTAAACTTATTGTGCTTGGTTACCCTAACCCTAAACCTATTCCTCCACTTCTCTTACTGTCTGAATAAAAGACCATACCCTACCAGTTGTAGCAGTCTCTAAGGGTTGCTTTAACAAAATACTTCACACTACATGGTTTATATGAACAGAAATTTATTGTCTCAAAGTTGTGGAATGTAAAAGTCCCAATCAATTTGGCTTTCAGGTTATAAATCCCACCAAAATCTAGGAAAAGATCCTCTATTGTCTTGCCCAGATTTTGGTTGTTCAATGGCTTGTAGAAATATCTTCACATGGTCCTACTTCCTCTGTGTGTGCCTCTCTATGTCTTTTTTTTCCTTTTTAAGGATGCTATTCAGAATAGACTAGGACACACTCTACTCCAATATGACTTCATGTTAATTTAACCAATAGTATCTTCATAAACTCTTTCCAAACAAGGTTATATTCACAGTACCAGTAATTAGGATATCATGGTTTTTTTTTTGGGGGGGGGGTGCACAAAGGGGAGAGATATCCAAAAGACTAGACATCCAAAGAAGAAATGTGTGACCAATTCTAAATTCAATTTCCCTTGCCTCTACATCTCTCCTATTCAATCATTCAAATATATTACCCATTCAGACTCATAGTCAGCCACAGTGTGTTTTGCGTCCTCTTTCAATGACCTCTCACCACTAGAAAAATTTTAAAACACAATCCTGATAACTTCACTCTCTTTTTTTTAGCATATATCAATGCCATTCCATAACTGTTAGAAAATAAACTCAAAGTCTTTAGGAACAACAGTTGTTGTGTACTGTCAAGTTCATTCCAAATCATGACAACCCATTAGAATAGAATAGAACTACCCTGTAGAATTTCCTAGGCAGTGATTTTACTGGAGCAGATTGTTAGTTTTTTTTTCCCCCTACAGAGTGGCTCTTGGGTTGGAACTGCTCACCTATGGTTAGCAGCCTAGTGCTTAGCCATTGAGCCACCAGGTCTCCTTTAGCATGAACTATAGAGTAGTTTTTCTTGGTAATTTATGACATTTTATGTGTGGCGCCTCTTTGCGTTTGCCTCACTCATCTGTTCAAGTAGACTCCTTGTTTTGGCCTAATCATCTATTTCCAGTTCTTTTCCACAGCATCATTTTTAAGGAGATTTGGTTAACACATTAGGCTGCTAACCAAAAGTTTGGTAGTTTGAACCCACCAGTCCCTTTGTGGGAGAAAGATGAGGAAGTCTGCTTTCATAAATATTTGCTTCCTTGGAAACCCTATGGGGCAGTTTTACTCTGTCCTATATGGTCACTGGGAGCCCTGGTGGTGTGGTGCCTAAGGCATGTGACTGCTAACCAGAAGGCTGATGGTTCAAACCGACCAGCAACTCCTTGAAAGGAAGATTGGGTAATCTACTACTGTAGTGATACTGCCTTGGAAACCTAAGGAGGGGTCATATGAGTTGGATCCAACTCCATAGCAGTGGGGTTGGGGTTTGGTATATGGTCATTATAAGTTGTAATCAACTCGATAGCAGTAGATTAGTTTTTTTTGTTGTTGTTGTCATTTTTCTTTTCTTTTTTTCTTTCATTCATTCATTCTTTCTTTCTTCCTGCTCTATTTCTTCTTCCTTCCTTTCTTTTCTTTTTACTACAATATTTTTATGGTCCTGGTATTGAGCAAATGATTTGCACTCAGCTCCTAACCAAGAAGTGGGAAGTGTTAATCCAGCCAGTGGATCTATGAAAGAAGTCTTAGTGATCTGCTTTTGTAAAAGAAAAACTCTATGGAGCAGTTCTGTTCTGTATTACATGGTGCCACCATGAGTTAAAATCAACTTCATGGTAATAAGTATACTAGTCTTAAGTATCTGGCATGTGATTTTTTTTTTTTTTTAAATAGTTCCTCTGCCTGGTAGAAACCTTTCATACCTCATACAACTAGTGAATTTATTGCACTATTTAAGACTCAGTTCAATTATCATGTATTCTTGAAAGAATTTCTTGTCTAAAAGTCACAACAGTTGCAGAACCAACAGAGTGAGGTACATACCCCTCCTTTGCAATTCTTTAAACTTTTGTGTCAACCTATATTAATAGCATCATGAGAAGAAAAGCATTGTGAGTTTTTATATCTTCTGATTCTTCAAAGCATCTTTGGCCATCTTACTCCAAAGAGTAGATATATTATTTTCTATATCTTCTGAACTAAGACATAACATGAGACAGAGTAGACTCTCAGTAATTTGTGAATGAAATCATGTTTGAATACAACTCTTCACATTTTAGATGTAAAAATTAGAATGTAAAACTGTTACCAGCTTTCATAACGCCACCAGTTCTTCCTGGGCAAGTTTGAACTCTTTTTCCAGGTGTGTCTTATTATAATATCCATCCTTATTTATCAAGGCTATTTTGGGGTTGTACATATTTTTGGAAATATTTTTTGTCTCTCTGGACTATTCTGACACCTTTCAAATAACATTGCATTTGTATCTTCAAATAAAATGTACTGTTATCTTCTTAATTCATCTATCTATAAAGCTGGCATTCACTTCAACTGTTCACAATGAGTGGGAGACTCTTACTACGTTTTCTTAATTTTTACAGGCACAACCTGGATTAGTGAAATTGTGGACATGATCTGTAAGGATGGTAATGTAGAAAAGTGCAAAGAAGATGTGATTTTTAATCGAGTACCTTTCTTGAAATGCAAGAAGGAAGGTGTCTTAGATGGTAATGTTCAAGTTGATTTTAAAGCTATAGGCATATATTTTAGAGTGTGGATATAATTGTGTAAAAACAAGATTATAAGCAAGGTTGGCAATTAGAATTATGTGTTTCACATAGGAAAGCATGGAGATTTAAGTTTATATCTTGAGAGGGTTTCAGCACATGTCTGAAATAGAGCTAAAAACACGGCTGTGATATGTTTTCACTGAAGCCAACTAATTTGTCAGCATTTATTTGGCTTAACTTCAAAATATTCCAAACATGTGGAAAAAGACTATAAATTTTCAATGATATATGAAAAAGGATATCCATCACAGATTATTTTGATATTGTGAAAAATTGTAAACAACCTGTGTGCTATTTATAATGTAAAATGTGGCATAATAATAGTATGAACTAATTAAAAAACTTAGCATGATCTGTGCTTCATGACATTGCAGTTTGCATAAAATATATTGAAGAAAATATAAAAAATCCTATCTGAGTTGTTCTGGTTATCTAGTGGTGCTCTGACAAGAATATACCACAGATGGCATGGCCTTAAAAAACAGGAGTTTACTCTCTCATTACTCTCATAGGAGTTTTTAAGTTCAAGTTCAAAGTTCCAAGCTCTAGGGGCTGGGTGAAAGCACCTCAACCCAGGGGTTCAGCTCTGCCTCCTGTTCCTGGCCCACTGGAGCTAGAGGCTTTCTTCACTCAGACAGCTGCTGGCTGCTGAGACTGACAAGCCCAAGGTTGACAAGTAAAAAGGCACAGTCCCGATGTTACCAAACCACATAGCAGGTTTCAATACATTAATTCAAGTGTATTGAAAGTCCCAAGGTTGGCAGAGCATGGCAGGCTGCTGAACAATGACACGGCTACATACAGGGTTCAAACATGCCTTAAGCTTAAGACCATTCCCAAAGCTGTTTCTTATATACGAGAAGCAGACCACATACCCAAAGCAGCTACTCAGCTGCTCCAGTAGATTCCACCATGGAGTTAATTACCAATCTCACCATGGGGAATAAATACATTCAGCTTCCTAGCCACTCAACCAGGCCCAGGCAAGTTGACACACAAACTGAACCACCACATGGGTTCATGGTGTTTGTGTGTCTTTGAGTATAGATACACATGGAATACTGTTTACCAAATCTTAATTATTTTCAGGAGATGAAACATTATTTGATATTTTTTTCTACAATTTAATCTACAAAATTTTTCATGGGTTTATATATTAATGATGATGATGAACACAGCATAGTCCATTAAAGTTCCATGTACTTTTCAAAATAGCTATAAATTAAGTTCCCACCACTCATCTTTCAGTTTGTTGTAATCTGGTGGCTTTTGTGTTTCTGGGGGCTATGCCATCAGTATTTCAAATTTCAGTAGTGCCACTCATGATGGACAGGTTTTTGTGGAACTTCCAGACTAAGATAGAACTAAGAAGAAGAACATGATAGTCTATTTTTGGAAAAAAAAAAAAAAAAAGGCCATGAAAAAGTTATGAACAGAAGTAGAACATTGTTTGATATACTGCTAGAATATTAGCCCCTTGGGTTGAAAGGCACTGAAAATATGAATCTGCAAGAGTTACCTCCTTAAAATAGAGTCCACCTTAATGACATGGATGGAGTAGAACTTTCAGGACCTTCATTTGCTAATGTGGCATAACTCAAAATGAGAAACACCAGCTGCAAACATCCATTAATAATTGGAATATAGAATGTATGAAGCATAAATCTAGGATAATTGGAAGGTGTCAAAGTGAAATTGAATGCATAAATATTGATATCCTAGATATTAGTGAGCTGAAATGAACTGGTATTGGCCATTTTGAATTGAACAATCACATTGTCTACTATGCCATAGTATAGGGTTGCTATGACTCAGAATATACGCAGTGGCAGTGGGTTAGTAGACATTAAGCCAGGAATGGCCAACTGTAGAGGAATGACATCACTTTCTTCATCTAAAAGAATGTTTCAAGATAAATCCTGAAATACGATGCTGTCAATGACAGGATAATATCCATATGTCCATCAGGAAGACCAGTTAATATTTCTATTATTAGAAGATTTACTATTAAATCTTATTACTATTAAAAGAAGATTTCAAAGGGCACCTCGAGAAGACAGAGTAAAGAATTATAAAGAAATGTGCAAATATCTGGAGATGGAAAATCAAAAAAAGAACATGCATTGCTCAAGCTGAAAGAACTGAAGAAAAAATTCAAGACTTGAGTTGCAATATTGAAAGATTTTTTGGGCAAAAATGGAAGAAAATATACAATAGCACAATTCTCATAGGATTGTTGTAAGAATCAAATGAAATAATGTTTGGAAGGTGCACAACATAGTTGCCTAGCATGTTGCAAACAGTCTATAAATAGTAGCTGCTGTTGTATTTGTTGTTACTAATTATGTTTTGATGCCCTCTTCTTACAAAATTCTATGTTTGGTATTGGGGGACAAATAAATCAGACATGTGGAAACTAGACAAGGAGCTTAATTTAAGTAGCTTATGGTAGAGTAGAGAAGGGACATTATGGATATATATAGCTAAAATAAATTTTCTTACTGCTTATAGTATATAATGAGTGCCTATCATGTTCTAAGGAGCTCTGGTAGCATAGTGCCTAAGGTACTTGACTGCTAACCAGAAGCCTGGCGGTTCAAACCCACTAGCCACTCCTTGGAAGGAAGGTTGGGCAATCTACCTCCATAGTGATACTGCCTTGGAAACCCAAAAAGGGGACACTACAAGTTGGGTTCCATTTGATAGCAGTGAGTTAGAGTATTATCATGTTTTAAGGATATAAAATTAACAAGGCACATGCTTTCCTTGTCCTCATGGACATACCATCCATGGGAATAAAAGGATAAGTGCACAAATAAAATAATAGATGTTATGGGTATGTAGCCCCAGGGTTACAGGTGAGGAGAGACAACGCAGGGACGCCCAGAGTAGCAGGCCGGAAGAGCAGTAGAAAGGGGATAAAAGCCTTGAACCCCGACAGAAGAGCAATCAGCCTAAGGGGTTAGGTGAGGAGGGGAAACTCAGGCCCGCCCAGAGTAGCAGGCCGGAACAGCAGGAGAAAGGGGATAAAAGCCTTGAACCTGGACAGAAGAGCAGTCAGCCCCAGGGTTACAGGTGAGGAGAGATAACGCAGGGACGCCAGAGTAGCAGGCTGGAAGAGCAGGAGAAAGGGGATAAAAG